ATTTTGAACAATACATCTTCACATGCCATGATAAAAGGTAGGATATATATTTTGTTTATTGGTATCTTCATTATTTTTATTTTACATTAAAAAATATTTTTTATGGGATTTTAAAGATTTAGTGTCAGATTTTACATAATTTCTTCACCATTTAGAGTGGTGATATAAAATTTTATTCCCATAGTAACAGTACAAAACTTTGTTGAATACATAAGTATACAAGATTTTATGTTTCATCAGAGATTTTCAAAAATCTAGGGATTTTTGCTAGTTATTGTTTTCTTCTAAATTTTTCAGCATTTGGTAGATGTGGGGATATCAACACAGCTTTCCAAATTGTGGATGAAATGGTATATAAAGGGTTATTAATTACAACAGAAAGCCTGAATTTCTTGTTACAAGCATGTATTACTCACCAAGAGGCTGGCTTTCGACATGCTCTTTTAGTAAGTGTTCAATTGATATATTATATTATATATTTGTTTTTGACAAATGTAATGTTGAATGCAGTCTCTTGTATTACAAAGTTAACAGATTTGCTTGTCTACAGGTATGGAGAAAGATGCGTGAGTTGAAACTGTCCCCAGATATATACTCCTATAACTTATTGGTTCAGTGTATCAAAGAATGCCAAGCAGGGGATCCACAGCTGACTTCTCAACTTCTCCAGGAAACTCCCTCTCCATCTATGACTGTGAAAGGAACTCAAAAGCCCAAAATCAATGGAGAGCACACTGAAGAAATTTTGCAGATAGAAAGTAAAAAGAAGCCATCAGAAAGGGAGAGCAAGGCACACATAGAAGCTGATAGATATGTGAAGAGTGGAGAAAATAGTGACAGTCTCATAGAACCTGAATATACTGTCATTGAGGTAAAAAGAAAAATGGAAAATGCTCAGGGGGATCAGCAAGTCTTACCAGATCTCTTGGGGAGAAAAATGACTGTTGGCAATGTTATTGGTTTAAGCTCTCTACAACAACCAAAGGATAGGTGAGTTATTAGTCATGTATATTTTACTTAGGTGAAAACATCTGCTCCAAGTATTTTGTTTACTTTAAATTCAGGTCGGAGAAGTGAGGATTACCCAGATAAATATGAGAATTGAGAGGTTTCTTTTGCAGAACATGAATGTACAATATCACCACTTTCTTCATTATAGATGAAAACAATTTGAAAGGAAAGCATTTTATAAAATCAATCAACAGGCTGGCTCTGGTAGGAGGACCAGTTGGCATCTTTAAACACATGGCAGAAGACAATGTAAAACCTGACATCCGAACAGTGGCACAGATATTGGAATCTTTACCTGCAGATACTCAGACAGAAGAGGCAAGATGGCAGTTGACTGCTGTTAGAACAATGAAAATATTTTTGATTTATTGGTGATTACAGTGACTGTGATAATAACATTGATGAATGAATATAATTTTTCAGGCTTTATTGGATTCAATGAAGAATATTGGAATTGTACCAGATTGCCAGTTTTGCAACATGCTTATTCGCAGGAGAAGTTTTCGCAGAGATACTAGTGCAGCCAAAGTAAGTAATCAGAGTCCATTTAATGTAGGTAAATGTTACTACTTTTTTTATGAGATCTTGTTGGTTAGGATAGTGTGCGAAGTACAGTTTCTCATAGCCATATTGTATATTTTGAAACAGATGGCACACTAGCTCCATTTAAAATGTGGTTTTATGCATCTTTGAGGACACAGAAGAGACTGAAAAGAATAATAGTATATAAACTACTGTTTTTTGTGGGTATAATGAAAATAAAAAAGATTTCAGAGTTCTATAGATTATATTTAACTGATTATTAAAATATCTAACATGTTTCATTATACTTCAGGAAGTATTGGATTACATGCAGAAATATCATCTTGTGCCTGATCTCATAACCCTTGGCTGCCTGGCTTTGGGTTACCACCGCTTGCATGACGCAAAGAACTTTCTGAAGGATATGGACTCTTTGGGCTTCAAGTTAGTAATGGAAGATGTTATACCATGTTTTTTCTGTTCCTTGTTTATATTAGAATATACATTTGTCTTTAGGATCTTGATTATCAATGCTGTTCATAATTTATTATTATTGATTTGATAACCCTAGAGTCTTCAGTATTTAAGCTAGTCTATTATTTGTTACTCTGTACTTCCTTTTAGCAGCATTGGTTCATTATTAGTTCACTGTAGGGTAGGATGCCACCATCAGGCTGTTTGCACCAGTATACATACCAGTCTGTAGGAAAAATGAATGATTATAGAAGGTCAGAGTGTGTGTGTGTGTTGGTGATAGTCTGTATGGAAAAAAAAGTAATGGTATGGAGTAGGTATGGCACGATTTAATCAAGCAAGGCATGTTTTTAAATACCTGCAGAGTATATTTCAGGTTCACAAATTAAATCCTTGGCTTAAGAATGTACAGAATTTCATTCCTTTGTACTATCTGCCAAAAATTAAGGCCAGGCATTTCCAAAATTAGGGTGAAATGAAATTTGAGTATATTGAAGTTCATTCAGATTGTGAGACCTGTCAAAGTCTCCATCAGAAACAAAGAAGAGAAAGGAGCTTGAGTATCTGATATTAAATATTGGTACTGAAAAATTGATACAGAGATCAAGATTTATTTTTGGAAAGCTACAATCCAAAAACTTTCTCCTTCACACATCTTTAAATATAATAATTTTATAGTGCACCGGGGTAGTCCAAAAGAATAGTTAATCCAGAAGCAAGAGTGAGTTGGTGAGCTAAGGTGAACACTCAGAAAGTGCTGTCTTTACTAGGGACACGGTGCAATTTATATGCCTCCTCCTACTGTTGACCTAATACCAATGAGCTTTTCCTTTGTAGAATGGGCTTACCATCAATTAGCAGAGTGATAAATAACAGCTAGTTGCATTGATAGCTCTAGAAAACGTGATTGACCCTGCAGGTTGCTACATTGGGACAGCATCCCAGTCAACTAACGTACATGTTTCAATCAGTTTCTTGTACGTGATTGTTTTATTTATATACTTTTGTATATATAAGTCAACTAGCATACATGTTTCAATCAGTTTCTTGCACTTCATTGTTTTATTTATATACTGTTTTGTATCCTTGTATGTACTTAATTTTTCATTCACCTCATGCTGTGCAGATAACAAAATATATTTTACTTTTTCAGGCCAAATCTAGAGATAATGACATCTCTGGTGAAAAATAGTTTAGTAAAGACAGACTACTATTTTACTGTGGAGATGCTCTTTGAGATGAGAGACAGGAACATTGTCCCAGATGAATGTCTTATCAACATCCTTGAGAAGGCTCGAAAGAGAGCACGTGATATGATCTTGAAATCAGTAAGTTTGATGTATATTTGAAAATAGAAGTTTCTATTTATTTGAGATGAAATTACATCTATGACTTGATATCAGATATTTGATAGTCACTACTTGTTAGACAAAGAATGTGAGATTAAAGATAATATGTTCTCCGATTTTAGGAAGATATTTGTGATTCTGAAGATAATTATATAATATTTCAATTTTGCTATATAATACTTTACAAGTTAGTGTACATATCATTCTGATTTAGTGTTTTCACCCCTTTTTTCATAGGAAGAAGATGGTGATAACTTCAAACAAAAGAATAAGTTGAAAGGAATGAGGCTCTTCTTGCTAGAATATAAAAACTGGCTGAAAGCATCAAGTATGCAACTCCCAGACCACCCCTGGGCACAGTACAGAGCAGCAACAACAACTCAGAGATGATTTGTTATTGGATCATCTTATTGTTGTGTAGTAGTGTTTCCTCAATAAAATATGTTATTTCTTTAATGTAATGTAAGATATTTATAGATATCTTACATATTATTCTTGTACAGAATCCGATTTACCATCAGAGTTTTTGAAATTACAGCTAGTCATAAATATATGATAACCAAGATGATGAATACCTTGATTTTATTGGCCTTGAATTATTGTCCCATTTCTATGTGTTTCCGTACGAGGTAAAATGATAGAGATCATCCTAATATTTATTTATGATAATGTTAATGAGTTATCAGCATATTGATCAAACTAAGCTTACTTTTATTGGTTACTATATTTCAAAAGGTATTATTTTACTCTGAAGTCCAATGACATTTATTACAAAATTATATTAACCCATTGGCGCCGGGTGTCACGTACGTACACGCCATGGCTGTTGTGGACCAAACGCCGGGGGCATCATGCCATGCCCATTCCCGCGCTACTGGCTCGTCGGATCGAGCCGGGCGCAAACAGGGGAAACTGCCAGTGCGCGCCAACAACCCGGCGCATACGTAAAGACAAAATTTTTACCCGTCGCTGATGGGTTAATAGCTTTGGCAAGTGACTGTTATGACTTGCTTTCACTTTTCTGACACCAGACTTATTTTCATTTTACTGAAAAGTAGGACCTTTTGATTTTGAATAAAGTAGTTGTAGAATTGCAGGATACCATCCAATCATATTGCTGAGCAAAGCAGGAATCAATTTTAATCACCCTGGACAAAGTGACAATCCCTTGCACCTTGCAGAAATAAGGGTTTTATTCACCCTGGTCAAAGGGGGAATCCCATGCACCTTGATATCCAATATGCCACCCAATAAAGAAGATTTTGGATTTATTCACCCTGGTCAAAGGGGGAATCCCATGCACCTTGATATCCAATATGCCATCCAATAAAGAAGATTTTGGATTTATTCACCCTGGTCAAAGGGGGAATCCCATGCACCTTGATATCCAATATGCCACCCAATAAAGAAGATATTGAATATCTTGCCACTGAAATCCAATTGTCCTGCTTACTTTCAATCTATGCAATGGTAGAAAAACCCACAATTCACAAACTAGATTTACTGTAACATATGAGTTAACACTTTCACTTTGATGATTACAATAATATGAAGATGATAATGGTATTAGTGATAATTATGATAATAATGATAGTGATGATAATAATAACAATGATAATGGAAATGATTATGAAAATGATAATGATATCAAGATGAATAGCAGCAACAAAAACATTAGCAAAAAGAAGAAAAATGATAATAATAATGATAGTAACATATTAAAAAGGATAACAATAATGATGATGATGATGATGCTGTTGATAATAGTAAAAATGACAATGATAACAATAATGAAAGGTTATGATAATGATGAAAATAAAAATGAAACTGATAATAGAGAAGAAAATTATAATGATAATTATAAAAGTAGTAGTAGTAGTGTGGTATCAGGAATAATGATAGTGATAACAATACTGAGTATAAGATAATAATGATAATGATGTCAATAACAATGATGACAATAGTACAATAACAAGGTAATAAGAACAATGATGATATTGATAACAACGATAGTTATGATAATATGATAATTATAATCTTAATAGTAATAATGACAATAATGATAACAGCAACAGCAATATTAATGATAATAATAATGATAATAATATTATTAATAGTAGTATTAGTAATGATAATGATAACAATGATGACAATGATAATAATGGTAATGGTTATAATAACAGCAATAGTAATAATAATGGTAATAATCATAGTAGTAATAATAATAATAAAGATAAAGATGATGATGATAATAATAATAGTAATAATAATAATAATAATGATAATAATAATAATAATAATAATGATAACAAGAACAACAACAATAATAATAATAATGATATTATTAATAATAATATTTACTATAATAATTATAATAATAATGATAATAATGATGATGATAATAATAATAATAATAATAATAATAATAATAATAATAATAATAATAATAATACTGATAATAATAATAATAATAGAAAATAATAATGATAATGATAATAAAAGTGATAATAATAATAATAATGATAATAATGACAGCAGTAATAATAATAATGATAATGATATTAACAATAATAATAACAATAATAATAATAATAATGATAATAATAATAATAATAATAATAATAATTATTATTATTATTATTATAGTAATAGTAATAATAATAATAATAATAGTAATAATAATAAAAAAATAATAATGCTGATAACAATAATAATAATAATAATAATAATAATGATAATAATAATAATAACAATATTGATAATAATGATGACAGTAATAATAATAATAATAATGATAATTATTATTATTATTATTATTATCATTATTATAGTAATAATAATAATAAAAATAACATTAATAATCATCATCATGATAATAATGATGATGATGATACTAACAATTCAAATAATGATAATGGTAATAATGATAATCATAAGAGTAATTATAGTAATGATAATGATTGTAGAAAGTTATGAATGAGAAAGAATAGCTTCACAATACAAGAGATGTATTTGACCGGTTTCGAATACATCTTCGTCAGGGATACATGTACTTCTGACGGAGATATATTCGAAACCGGTCAAATACATCTCTTGCATTGTGAAGATATTAATTTTCATTCATACCTTTCTATATTTGTCAAAATGAATACGGTTCAATGATAATGATAGTTTCAATAATAAGGCTAATGATAATAGTCATGGCAACTAAGAGGAAGATGATGATTATAATCATTATTATAATTATAATGGAAATGATAATAAGATATTAACAGAAAAAAACACAAGGAAGTAAGAATAATCGCAAAAATAATTATTTAAAATTAATCGGCACGAATCGGTTGTTTTCGCCATTCGTGCTGATGGCGCGGAAAGGTCTATGTCTGTCTTGATTACGGTGCCATTGCTTAGCGAGTTCATGTTGGTAAATATACCTTTAGTACATTGTGTCATAGAGGGCATTTAGTGCTCCCCCGTTTTTGTTTTTCATTGTATCAGCATGAGGTATTTTGAGTCATCCTTGATGAATGTGGTGCAAGAGACCTACCATTAACTCATTTCCGAACTTGTTTTATTTTCTTGACTGAAGAAGTAAGAAACGAAACGAAGCGTCATTTTCTGTAAACGACTGCCTTGTCTTGAGTCTGTCTGATTAGTTGTTTAACAGAATTTGGACGGAAGAATTGCAAACAATCGTGTTTTCAGCATGTAAAGATTTTTTTTTTAGCCGCCCAGGCCTCGGACTTGTGGATGGAATGGAAAAAAATTCTATTCAATGCAAATAAGGGAAGGAAGGAATTTTTGTCTACTGGAAGACAATTGGGAGTAGGGAGATTCAGGTCTGACAATATTTTCCCATGTAAGCAGGTTTAACTCCTATGTTTAGCTAACGATACCTCTATTTTATAACATTTATGGGTATTCAAGACAGGGTTGACTACAACTGATATGCATTAGTGCTTGATGTTGAGTATGTCTGACATGTTATCCTGCAGTATATATGGGTTGAGTCTTTGTTAGGTGGGAGTTGGGGCAGCAGCCCCCATGGGAGGGTTGCAAGGCACAGCCCCCTGCATTAGACAATATAATGATTCTGTGTATATCATGGTAATTGTTGAAGACTGCGACGCACCCTCGCAGAGACTAAGTCGAAAAAAATTGGTGTTTTTTGCAGGAAATCCAATGATTTCTTTGATTTTTGGTGTTTTCTTCAGCGAATGAATCGTTCCGGAGATCTAGTACCATTTCTCCATCGACAATCTTGATTTGATAGTCTTGTTAGCAGGAGAGAGCATGAAGTATATCAGGGAAATTATGGGGGTAAAACAGGCTTAAATAAGAAGAATGCAGATCAAAAATGCGTAAAACTAGCACAAAAAATACTTAAAATTGGCCAATGAAACTCTACGGATGTAACCGCCATCTTTGAAATTCCTCGGACTGATGCACCGGAAATAAAAAACTACGGGAGCCCAACCCACTTTTCGGCAAAACTTTACAGGAATTCACACGTTCCAAACCCCCCAAAAATGTATTGACCAATAAACCAAACTAATATATCAATATAAATTGCCTTGACTAGGTGTGCCCTTCGGGCACTGCCCAAGGGGAGGGTTGATGGGGGGCAAGCCCCCCAACACCCCCCGGGACACATTCTCTCTACCTCGGTATGCATGGCAAGATAGAGCTACATTCACACAGTAAAATAATAAACCAAATACCTTTATATCTGCAACCGTCAAATTTTGTTCACTTCCTTCTACTATCTGGATTGCTTCAATTTGAATCACTTTTTACTGTATTTGGAGCTCTTGGTGGGCCCACATATTAAACTGGAATTGTTACTGAAGTCTATTTTATCTTCTTTGTCACTGTATAGTCTTAAGAATAACCCAGAATGAACACAACAAGTCCAACGATGTGGGTCTGGGCGTTGGTACCAGGAGCCAGAAAACCTCAATTTCTGGGACCTAGCAAAGTCCCGGAAAAGGAGCTGTTCTCACTACCGGTATCAGTTCCTGAACCATGAGGACCGACAGACATCTCATAGCCAGCTCGATCATAGCCAAATACCACATTGAAGTTACCCAGAACAATTCGAATATCACGCTGGGGACACCTGTCTGACGCAGATGCTAGTTTGGCGTATAATATCTCTTTCATATCAAGTTTACATACATCGGTAGGAGTGTACACAGCAATAAGAGACATGAAGCCAAATGCTAGCTTCAGTCTCATTACCATTATATGCTCATCGACTGGAGTACTACTACCGAGGGCTAGAGTCTGCTGGAGATGGCCATGGCTACTCCCTGGAGATGTTGACCATCTCTGCGGCCTGACCAGTGATAGGTGTAGCCACCTACACTGATCGTGCCGTTGCCAGGTCTTCTCACCTCTGAGAGAGCAGCCACCTCCACTCTCCGCTTCCCCAGTTCCCTCAACAGCAGAGGCACTCAATCATCTTGACGCAAAGAACGGACGTTCCAAGCCCCCACCCTGACTTCCCGCCTGAGTTTTAGCCTTGGGCAGTCACTCCGGGCTGATGCCACCTCTGCCACCCCTGCCGATGCTGCTCCATATAAAAGGGGGCGGCAGGCTACGGGACCCATCATCCACCTGTGGGGCTCCCGAAGGCTTTCCCCCGCAAGTTTCACTCCAGGCTGGTGACTACCAGAATGCAAGCGGGACAAGTAGGTTCCGTTCCCTTCCTGTGTCCCGGCAGTCACCCTCCCAATGCTGGGTGGGAGGAGCATTTCCGTTTATATTTGACACTGCCAATGAGGTTTATCTGGGGGGAGGAGGACTGGCAAGGCCCACCTCCCCCGAGCCTCCCATTAACCCCAGGGGGCCTAGGGGCAGGAGTTGGTACAGGGCCAGGGCGTGTCCACACGCCGGTGTGCCATGACCCTGTACCTCTAGGGCCTCCTGCTGCTCTGAGATCCCCCACAGTTTAGCCTGGGACCACAAGGTACCCAGTTTCCATGGGAGGCCACGAGGAGGCACTGCAGAAGTCTCGATGATTGAGAGGCTATGCACTGGCATGGGAGGCTTATGCGTAGTTGCTCCCTTCTTCGCACTAGGCTAGCCAGCTGTGGCAGCTGCAAGCGAGAAGGCATGCAAAGCACTTAACACTATCAAGGCTATCACACCATCGCTTCACATCACCCTGAGCGTGAATGCCAACAAGCAAAGAGGATGCATCAGTTCCTGCATAGGGTTAGTTAGGAATGGACATGTGGAAGTGGTAGAATAGAGGCAAAAGTGTATTTATTGCGTATGTGCACCAGATTGGACCAGTTTTTAAATATTATTATTATTATTTATTTTTTGTCATATGTATGATATTGCAATATAAACTGATTATTCATCAAAGGTATACATAACATTGGTAATTGTTACCGATAGCGACACCCCCTCCCAGAGACTAAGTAAGAAAAAATTGATGTATTTCTGTGGGAAATCCAAAGATTTCATTGATTCTAGGCATTGTTTCTTTTGCAAATGAATCATTGAGGAGATCAAGTACCATTTTTCCAATGATGATCTAGATTTGATAGTCCCGATAGCAGGGCAGGGCATGAAGTACATTAGGGAAATTTTGGGGTAAAACGGGCTTAAAAAAGAAGAAAAAGCGCACAGAAATGTGTAAAACTAGCACAAAATGCTTAAAATCGACCAATGAAACTCTACACCAACTATGAAATTCTTCAGACTGATGCACCAAAAACTGAAATCTCTATGGGAACCAACCTACCAATTGGCAAAATCAACAGGAATTTACATGTTCCAAACCCCCTAAAAAAATGTACTGGCCAGTAAACCAACCTAATCTAACAATTTAAGTTGCCATGACAAGGCATGCCCCCCAACACCCCTTGGGAGGCATTCTCATTGCCTTGGCACGTACGGCAAGAGAAGACTGCATTCACATTGTAAAATAATAAACCAAATACCTTTATATCTGGAAATGTCAAACTTTCGTTCGCTTCTTTCTACTGTCTGGAATGCTTCGATTTTAATAATTTTTTTCATCATTTGTATCCCTTTCATTTGGGCTCAGATATTAAACTGGGATGGTTACTAAAGTCTGTTTCTTATTTGTTGCCACTGTACAGTCTTAAGAATAACCCAGAATCAACACAACATTGGAAAAGCAATATTTCCCACGGGCGTTATGCCACGAAATGACTGGCTTTAAACCTTGGGCTGGCAAATGAAAGTGTGAAACGCATGATGTGCAGATAATTCTAAATAAGTATAGATAAATATAAAAACACGTAAATGAAGTATAATAACATCAATAAAATACTTTAAAAGGATAAATGTGTAACAGCAGTGATTGATAATTAGCCAAATATTGTTTTGACAAGAGTGTATTAACACATGAACTACTTTGGATATCGCATTAAGGAGTTAAGCAGTTAGTGTTGTGTTATTCCCAGCATGGTAAACAAGAAGATTGATTTAGAATATGAGTGGTGATATGCAAGAGATTTTATTTTTTTTTATTCTTTTTTATTTTTTATTTTTTTTGTCATTTAACGGTGACTATTTAAGCCACTTCAGCTTAAACTATGTTGTATCCTATTCTATTTCTTCCGCTCTGTAAGATGGTGGTGTCCATTTCCCTCATCTACATGCGTCACTGTAAGTAACTTATACCATAACATTTGCTGTAGCAAGTCCCAAGTTAACTGTAAGTAACAGGGAGAGTTCCAAATATTTTTGGCCAGAAGACTAGCTAAGTGTCCTTAATAATATCCTTTTTATATTTCAGGATTTAAACTATAGTTAAAAGAACAGGAGAAACAGAAAATGTCTAAGTTGGAGAAAATGCAAATTATGGGCATTAGGAGCTTCGGCCCGGAAGAACCCAGAAAGATCCAGTTTTTTTCACCTCTGACACTCATCTTAGGTCAAAATGGGTGTGGAAAAACAGTAAGTAGTTGTGTATTTAAAATGTATGATGATGTTTATAATATGAACCATGATCATTTAGACACAAGGTTTTGATATTGATATTTTCTAATAGTATTTATTTTACTTTTCCAGACTATAATTGAGTCATTGAAATACATCACAACAGGTGATGCTCCTCCAGGCTGTGGAAAAGGAGCATCATTTGTCCATGATCCAAAGTTAGCAAAAGAAGTTACTGTAAGTGTTTGTAGTTGCATGATGAGTCTATCAATCATCTATACATTCATATATAACATGACTATATTTATATGCATGCAGCACTATCAAGATTAAGAAAAGATGATCTATATCAAAAGTATGATTGACATTATAATGGTGATTGCCATCACCATGATAAGATAATAAAATCTTGTAGTTCTTAAATAAAAGTTGTAGATTACATTTGTTGTGGCCCATTTTAGGTGCGTGGTCAGATCAAGTTGATGCTGAAAGACACCAAAGGAGCAACTCTTGTAACAACTCGTTCCTTGGAAGCCACACAGAAACTGAAGAAGATTGAGTGTAAGACCATAGATGCAACATTGCAAAGGAGGCGGCCAGATGGCAGTACAGATGCTATATCTAGGTGAGGAGATAAAGTAAATTTTTGTGTTACCATTAGGTGAAAATAAAGTGTTGTTTGAAATTCATGAAGTGTTGTGTTGTGGAAATTGCTTATTCATGGGTAAGTTTATAATGTTGTGATACAGTGTGCATTTGTTTAATCCTACACAGGCAGTCCCAGAATATTCTGTGTTGCACTCATTTCAGTGACTACTGGCAACTGTTTAGCCTTTCTGTCAGGGCATTTGCTGTGTAAAGCTGGCCCTGTCTACTTTCCTGCTAGAGCAGGTCATGACGTGTATATATGTACTGTCATAAAGTTTAGGCTTTCCATGACGCCTATAGCCATGTACATCAGTAAATTGTCAAAATCCTCTCAAAACTTTATGGAAAAGAGTTTGTAGGTGCAGAAAATATTTGTAGAGGTCTGAATGATTTAAGGCCATGTCCTTGAATATGATCTTTGATATGTGAGCTATAATTTCTATTAAATGTCTTTCACTGAATACTCTGTGATAGTAGGTGTATTAATAGGTTTGAAAACAAGAATGGAAAGTAAATGAAATTAATGAAAACATGATTAATGCCTCTTTTTTTTCTTTTTAATTAATTGGGTTTTATTCTAAATATCATGTCTGTTTATCCTTGGTTTGCATTAATTATCAATATATATGTGTATGATTAATTTATCCATATTGATTTCAGTAAGTGTGCTGACTTTGAAGCAGAGATATCAAATGCCTTGGGTGTATCGAAACCTATCTTGAACAATGTTATATTTTGTCACCAGGAGGAATCAAATTGGTAAGATGGAAAAGTTATAGCATTCATTGTGACAAATTTAAGAAAGGTAAGAATAGTATGAACATCTTCACAGCACAAGGAACATATTTAATCAGAAATCAGAAATGCATGATCCATGTATTCTTGATATAGATTAAATTGACATACATCAAATACAGCTATTACTCCATTAAAATGTTCATTCCCATTGATATTTTTTTCTATTTGGAAAAGAAGCTAATTTTGTAATGACATATTTGAATATATATGCTTTATCAAAAAGTTATTAATGTTATTATTATTTTATTTTTTATATTTTTTATAAAATTGTCATAATTACAATACACAATCAAATACAAAAATTAATGAAGAATTGTTTTATACATGGATTGATTTTGCACAGGCCTCTGGATGAAGGTAAAAAAGTGAAAGAAAAATTTGATGCCATATTCAATGCCACCAAATACATCAAATGTCTTGATACAATACGTAAGCTGCGTGCTGAAATGAAAACGAGTAAGTAACTTATTTATCATATGAAAATGCTTGTCAGTGAGAAACATGTATGTGGTTTGAAAATATAACAAGATACAAAGTAATGTATGGTTCTTTTGAATATTTTTATTGCTTTGGGAATTATTTTAGGATACATATATTATATACTAGGATGAAAATATGTCTTGCTTGACAAATTAGAAATAATCAATATTTGAAGAGCTAACATTGATATTACTGAACAATTTTTTAAAATCTCAACTAAAGCTTGAATATTCCAGAGGTGAAGAACATGCATGAAGTCATTGAAAGCCTCAAAAAGTGGCGAGATGAGGCAAACCGAAAGCGTGTTGACTTGAAGGAGTCTTGTGAGCAGCAAAATAAAATTAAGGTTCAAAAAAGTAAACTGAAGGAAGAACTGGAGCCAATTCGAGAACGTCTAAAGGAAATCTGTGACTTGGAGGAGAATGTTGGCCGTCTGAATGGAGAGCTGAGTAAGTTTTCACTGTTAAACTGTAACATGCCTCAGAATTCATTCATTAGCCAGCAGTATGCCTCTTAAGATCCAGACATGCATTTTAAATTCAGGTTTGTTGCCTATAGGGTCCTTTTTATCCTCTACAGAGCCCCTTGCAGAAATATGTGCTCTACAATAGGAGTAAAAACATATTTGTACATTCAGAAGTTAATTTTCATGTCTCTTCTCTCCTTTGTTTGAGTGAATCTTATCCTTAACTTACTAAAATTAATATGAATATTATCTGAAAGTTTTTACCTTTTCTTGTTGCAGATATACAGATACTTTGCCTTGTTTAGATGTTAGATGAATTCATCCATATGAATACCAAGATATACAACCATACTAAGATAGGAGGGAAAAATGTTTCTAAAGGTTCTTCAGTAAATTTCATTACCCACTGGAAAGACATGTTTATGTAGTTAGTCTTTTTTTGTGAGCAGAAGCATATGAAAAATTACTGGTTCTTTGGGATGAAAATTTTGGAGTGTTACCCATATGCCAGAATGAAATTTCTCTACTAAATGCCATTATATTTTTTTGCTAGATATTTCCAGTAATGGTAATAAAAATTTAAATGGCAAGAGATATCACAGATAACATGTTTGACAAGGAAACTCAACCCATTTTTGTAAGCATGCTTTTCTCTTCCCTCTTAGTTGGAGAGAAGCATAAGCTTGAAGCCCTAAGGCAGAGCCAAGCAGACCTGCGGGCGACTCTTTCAGAGCAGCTGGACTGTTCGGATGAGGAGCTGTACCACATGATACAGGATTTCCAGAAAAACTTAGAGAGCATGGAAGAGGAACAGGAAAAGGTAAGGAGGGTGGTCTTAGTGTGAGATTGAAAGGAGGGTCCTTATTGAAAGAGTTGGTTATTTCAGGAAAAAGAGTAAGAAGACCAGATATTGGGGGAAAGCATTCAGTGAGCAATATTTTGTATTTGGTCAATTTAATGTAAAGGTGCTGTTTTTGCTTGCGCCATAAACTACTATAGTGGCAAATATTATTTTTGTATCAAAGTACTCTTCCTGACTGGTGTGTATAGCCAACAACGAAAGTATTGTTGCCATGCCAGACCTAGCTCGAAGATGATATGCCCATCTTGCCCTGAAAGGAAGCCCATATTCAAACAACCAGGACATAATTAAGAAGGTTTTAATGTGAGGAGGAGGGAAATATGGAAATCAGGCAAAGAAGTGCAATAATGACTGAAATAGATATGGAGAGAGAGAGAGAGGGGATTGCTTTATCCCTGTTTAGTTGTTAATTTGATGGATATATTGGAGACCTGCTTGAGAAACAAGTTATCGTATATTATTTAGAAAATAATTATCATCAAGTCTTATCAAATCGTTTTATTTAATTCCTTATCATGTCTGCTATATAAAAAAAAAACTTAGATATTGTTGGAAGTGACTATTCATATTAATATTAGTCAGACAGAAATAACATTTGTTTGCATTATCCCAGTGCCGTATATTAAGGGGACTGTCTGTTTTTTGTTTTTTTCTTCAGTTTATTGATTTTTCTTGCCAATTTTGATGAAATGTGCACACTTTTATTTAGACTCTAGCAAGATCTTGGAACTGAATTTTTTTTTCGAAGTTGCCCAAACAGCTTTTGAATTATTGTCTAATAACAAAAAAACACCAATCACAATCATTTTGAAAATTGACAGTTTCAAAAATTCTATAAAATCCAGGAAAAAATACAGGTATTCTGATGTGAGTTTTAAATAGATTTCGACTCTGACTTTGGAAAAAAAAAAAAAAAAAAAAAAAAATTACATGCATGTAATTTTTACAAGAAGCACAGGAAAAAATTGCAAAAAGTAACTGCCAAAAGCACAAGATTTTTAATCCAGCAACAAAATGAGCCATAAAATCTTAATTTGGAATAAAATTGTTTTTACAAGAATTTTTGAAGACTACAAATTGTAGGTAATGTTTCAAGATATCAGCATTTTTTTTTTTTTCGTATATTTTCATAAATGTTTTGGTATTAACAAAATTAAATATAAGAATAATCTTCCTATAACATAATCCTCTATCATTTACCTGCATCCCGAAGTATTGCAGAAATTCCTAGCAAGTAATAGTATCTCACTAAGCGACATTTGTTATGGTAGGGTCACACTGAGTTTTTAGGCCTACATTGACCATTTTAGGAAATTTCTCTAAAATCTCCCCAAAATAACACTGGTATTCTGATTTAATTTTCGAACAGAAAAACCTTTTACGTAGTGCTTTTATGAATTACTTTTTTTCAGTCATAACTTAGTTTTTGGTTTGTGAATATTTTGTATGGATGACTTTTGGAACAACATAAAAAAAGACAAGAAGCACAGGAAAAAAGGCACAAACAGAATCACACAAGGACTAGATATATCATTCAGCTACAAAATGAGCCATAGAAAGTCATTTTTGGACTAAAATTGCATATGCTACAGCTTTTGAAGACTACAAAGGGGCGTCCTTGAGTTAGGGTGTTTCTTGGTTTACATTGCGCACTTGAGTTGGGATGTTTCTTGGTGTACACTTTCTCTAAAATCCAAAAAAATAATACAGCAATTCTACTTTCATATCTGAATAGAACAATCTTTCATCTATTGCATAGCAGATGCACATTTTTCAAATTGGACCGACTGTTTTTTGTTTTAATATTTTATGTTGACAACTTTTTGAACACCATAAAAGGGGCCATGTTTTGTGTATGATACTTTTACAAAAACAAATGAAAGTATTGCAAATCCTAATTGCATTATGTAATAGATCTAATATTCAGCTACAAAATGAGCCATATTACTTTAAAATCGGACTGAAAATGGGTGTGCTATGCGTAAAAGTGTAAAGTACCAAAAACGCAATATCTTTCTTCTTCATTTTTTTTATAGCATGGATAACAAATAATGTATGAAATAATTGTGTTTGATATAAACATCTATTATTTCCCTTTATTGTTATTCTAATATAATACTGGTAAAAAAAATGACCATTCTCAAGGCCAACAAATATCACACTTCTGCCCCTTCTGACTGCCTAGAGGTGGTCAGAAGGGAAGTACGCATGTATTTTTGAGGTAATGTTCCCAGCTGTTGTAACTCTATAGGATGAAACACCTACCTTTCACACCAAAACATCCGTGAAATAATGACATACAAATAGAAGGCAGTGTATATAAGGTATATGAGTATATACAGATCATTTCCATGTATTCCATGATCTTATGTTTATATATATTGTTACTTGCATTTGTTTGTTATGTTTGTCTGATAATTCAAAAAGTTATGAACAGATTTGAATGAGATCTTTATCAGAGGTGTGTTTGAGCCTTTCTTAGAGGCCATGACATTTTGGTGGTGATCTGGATCCTGATTCGGATACAGGATTTTTTTTTTTTTTTTTTTTTTTTTTTTTTTTTTACGAACTCAAAAAGTTCTGGACAGATTTCCATGAAATTTTCACCTGTCTTATCCTAACTTTGATTCCATAAACTTTTGGTGGTGATCTGGATCATTTGGCAAACCTACACCCCAATTTGGGGAGGTGGGGGGGTTTGCATGTTCAAAACATGAAACAGATGAAATGCAATCAAATCATAAAGAAAAGAAAATACTCCATAGAAATGGCATATCACTTTTATATTTTTATATACAAACATACTTTGTTATTGTTTTTGGAAGGTAGATCTCATATTATGTGAAATTTTATAAGCTTTCAGAAAACAATCTCACTATTTTATGTCTAATCGTTATGTCACAATTGCTAATTTTATGAAAATAAGCTTGAAAAACAATTTTCAGGGGAGATTCAGAGATCCTGAAACTCTTTGGAAATGCATTTAAATCAAATTCAGCAAGAAGGATGAAGAATGGGAAAAAAGACGATATATTATTCAGGCACACAAATATTACAGTGTGTGTGTGTGTATGTGAGAGAGGGAGGGGGATGCAGATGCTAGCCTTGATAGGATGGGACTGAAACATAGGACACTCACTCTTTGCTTTGCCTAGTGAATCAAGATCAAGCCCATCCTCTTCCACCCTTTCCTAACTATGTCCAGGTTGTTTGAATGTGGGCTACCTTTCAGGGTAAGAAGGGCATGATATCTTCAAGCCAGGTCTGGCAAGGCAACATTGCTTTTGTTTTGGGCTGTACCTTCATAATGATGAAGTACAATTGTTGCATTTGTATTAGAACCTCTATAATGTTGAACTAAAATCCCTTTACCATATGCTTTATAATGAAAAAGAAAATTATTTATGTTACATACTTTTTATAGGGATAAAGTGCTTTTTTACTTGTTATCACATACTGTATGTGGTAAGGGCTCTCCTTGCATTTGTTACGTAGTGTGAAGGACCTTTTTTCATATATTCATTGTTTTTATCCCAATATTTATTGTATTTTACTGATTACAATGTTGTTCCCATTTTCACTTGTAGGTAATGTCTCGGATGCAAAGCATTCAGAGAGAGAAGGAGAAGAATCAAACTGAGATATCTAGGACAGAAAGACTTCGAGGAGAGTATGAGGCAGCTTACAAAACACAGCAGGATTACATCAAGGAACGAAACAGACAGATGTCAAGTATTACCAAGGAATTTTCCTTTGCAGGTGAATGCCAGTTTTCATTTAAAAGCAGAGTCAAAGTTTTTTGTGTGTGAAATCTTAATTTGGAAATTTTTGATACTGCTTTATTGTGAACGTTTAATTGTGTTGGTTTAACCACCTGTGCCAACAATGAGGCACCTGATGTGTGGAAAAATATTTTTCAAGAACTGGGAAAGACAAAAGAAAGAGTGACACCCACCCATCAGCTTTTAAGTGTTGTGAGATGACAAATATCAGCAAAATAAAGGAGGAGAATCCTCACATTCAAAGAAAGCATTTTTTATTTGTAAAATTACAAATTTTCTAGTTCCTTGTTATAATTGAAAGGTTAGATAAGAACTGGAAATTAAGGGAACAACACATTATTAAAAAAAAAACACATTAGAGCCAGACTACATTGTACGGTAACAGCAAGACCTTGCAACCTGCATTTTAGCATAATTGCCAGGTTGGGTCACACAGGTCTGCAGCCTTGTCCTCACTACTTACCATCAGCTGTCTCTCGATGATTCAGTACCGAAACCTGATTGGATGACACAGACACCTCATGGCTCGCTCATTGGACTGCAGGCTCCCCTTGTTCCCAGATTGCTGGCACAGCTTAAGAGTACTTAAGGAGGCCGTCGCAACGAAAATTTTCAAAAATACTCGAAAAATAAAAATAAACCTCCTGTAATCTAGTGGGCTTTGGCAATCTCGTGACATAATATTTTTGCTAGATATGTAAAATTAAAGGAGTTATGACTAAATCTCTCTCCCGCCCCCCTCTCCGATGTTTACATTGTCGCATCCATGAAAATTTACTTGACAAATTTGTTTTTTTTTGTGTATTTTTTTCGGTTTATTTTGGAATTCTCTGGTAGCTAGCTGGCAACTCTGTTTACCCATCAGCTGATCGTCAAGCCTGTGGCTCTGGGAGACAAAACTCCAGAAAATCAGAGAGGAAGGTTGTCAGCTCCTACTTCCATAACACCATATCGCAGAGTAGGCCCATATAACAAGTAAGGGGACAATACTAAATGTAGATGTTATTCTATTATTTAATAACCGTAATATGATCAGAAATACTCCTTAATCACAGCTGCAATAGTTTTTTATACATTTAAATACCTCACATGGCCAGGTTAGGTACTGGAAAACCTGTGTTGACAGCCGGTAATTTCACACATTATGTGCAGTAATTACCATTAGTACTTTGCAAAAGGAGGGGACAATGTACCAGCTACACTTCAGAATACCATATGAACACAATAGAATGCAGCAAGATTGCCGTAGAGATTAGAATTCTAAAGAAAAAAAAAATTGTGGGAAAAGTTTCCTAAATTTCGGAGCCCGTTATCTCAAAACTACACTTTTGTCAACATTTGTCAGCATTTTTTTAGTAGCTCCGTAAATACTTGGGCGATTCTAATGGGGTTTGGATCGTTTAAAAGCTGAATATATTTGCGATGATTTCCTTAAAGTAGATTTTCTTTTTAAGTAATAGTAGTCCATATATCGTATCGTGATGTTCATAAGACTGGACATTCAGAAAAAAATAAATTCCCACTAAACTAAAACGAAATTTTAAATTCCGGTCTTTGCAAATTATAGGTATTGCTTTAGACTATAGGTGGTAATTTTTTCAACAAGTTTATTCAATGGATAAGTGCGATACTAAAGAGGTTGTGATTGTTCAAAAATCTGTTTTTCGTATATAACTTTATTATTC